CAGTTGTATAAAACCCTCTGAACTACCTTTGCTGATGATAAACTTCTTTCTGTGAACAATGTTTCTTTGATTATTAACCCCCAAAATGATGAGTTTGGGTAGTTTTTTCTAACTCTTCAATATTAAAATGGTTTGGAGGGATGTAGAATACCGTCTATGGCTTACATTTATTCAGACATTTTAAACAAAATCAGCAGCACAGATACTATATCAATGTAAAAAAGATTTTAAGTGTTATATAATTAGCTGATTTAGAAAGAATAATATTTTGTTACATTTTTTATGTTTGATCCAGATCAAACAATGTTTACTGGTTTTTCAGAATACATTGTTTTTCATTTGAGTTTGCAACTCAGTTTGAATTAAACTTGATCAGGACATGCTATTCCATTTATTTTTATACTTTTATCTTAAAAGGATATCTTGAAAAGGATCTTAGCTATCATCTGTTGAACCTCTTTTTCTGAGAATTATGGCCCAGAGAGGAGAGGTGATTTTGCAAAGATTTCACCAGTTAATGGTGGAGCTAGAACTAGAGCCCAGGCCTCCTTACTGAGCCTCCATTCCTGTCTTTGATTCCTGCGTGTTTGGCCCTCAGTTTGGGCTTTACATCCTATGTGTAGATGTTTGGTAAATTTATTATACTCTGAGGTTGAATTTTGACATACAAATCACTAAACATGCTTTGTATTTTGAAGACATTCAGTGTCTAAGAAGAAAGTGAGTTCAAGATCTGCGAGCCCTCTCTCCCTCTCTCTTTTGTGATGTGTATCATCTAAATGTGTTCCTTCAAACTGGGTGCATACAATTTTCCAACCGTGTGCCATCTTTTGGTTTCAGAGATAAACACGTGATAGTGTTTCAATAGAGACTAGAGTTTTCCAAACCCATCTATTTTTGTGGCCTGTCTCTTGTGTTAATAATGCATATATTTGCAAGACAGCTGGCTGAGCTTTTGACAATAGTCTGTCCCTGGATTCTTTTTTTTCCTCTGTGCAAAGCTAAATGAACCATATGGGAATTGAGCTGATAACCTTGGCCTCATTAATTTACCTTCTGTAAAATTGCCTTTTGTAAATTATGTTCTACTCTAATGAGATTAGGAGTGCGATTTCATTCACTCAATAAATAGTACCAACACTGAACTAATGGCATTGGGAACACAGAGATGCATACAATAAAATTTTTGCCCTCAAAGGATTAGGATAAGTGCACAGGTCACTAATATAAGAGCAAGAGTGGTAACTGCTGAAGGAGAAGGATTAGCAAAACGTGAAGGAGTTAGGAGAAGGGAGAGTGGAGAAGGGAGGGTGGTACTTCGTGCTGGGGGAACATCAGGACCCTTTAATGATGGACAGGGTTCCCAGTGGGAGTGAGGGAGAGGAAATACTAGGTCCTGTAAATGGTGGTTGACCAGAACACTTCAACAGGGATGTTGGTATGTGCTGAGCATAAGGTTAAGATTATTAGACCCTGAAGGAGAAGGCTGATAGTAGGGAGAAAGATTTTAAGTGTCCTACTAAGGTTTTTATTTGTAGTGACATTCAGAAGGGATGATTGAAGATTTCTAAGCATAGAAGTAATACAGTCAGAACCTTTATCTTCAGATTCATTTGTCAGCAGTCACTGTAGAATGAACTGGAAGGAAAAGCTAGAGTTATGGAAGAACCTTTGGGAAGTAACAAGGGTCTGAACCAGTGTTACCAACAGTGGGATGCAGAGAAGCTGTGTGAGAGTTTGCAAAGCTGGACTGAGCAGGACGTGGTGGTAACTGATTAGATTGGATAGTTGAGGGAAGAGTACAAGGTTTGAACCTGGGTAACTAGCAGATGGCAGTACTCTTTCACAACGTCAAAATCTGGAAAAAGAAAGTAAATATTGTTTTGAGCATGGTATTCTCAAGAAGCTAATAAGGCAGACTTGAAATTGGAACACAGGGGAGAGGTTGGAGCTGGCTGTAAAGATTTGGAAAGTCATTCACCAAGCGATCTGTTTGAAGCTAGGATTGTGGATGAGATCATTGAGGGATAGAGTATAGAAATAAGAAAAAAGGAATGAATGAATAAGAAATAAGAAAAAAGGAAAGAATGAATTCTGGCAGGGGCTGGCAGGGAATAAGGGTGGTCGGAGCGGGGAACGGAGCTAAGAGAAACCAGAAGATCCGTTAGGAAGCTTCTGCAGAACCCCAGGTAAGAGGTGTTGACAGCTCAAAGTAGATGGTGCTGGAGGAGTTTTTGGAGATTGATCAGAATCTGAATACATTCTGTGGATAAAATGAATAAAATTTAACAGATTCAGGGCTGGGAGTGTTGTGTGAGAGAAAGAGAAGAGTCAGAGATGAGTCCGTGCTTTTTGGCCCAAGCAACTGGAAGGAAAGAGTTGTTGTATTAGTTTGCTAGGGATGTCATAACAAAGTACTACAGACCAGGTGGCTTAAGCTATGGAAATTTATTGTCTCTCAGTTTTGGAGGCTAGAGATTGAAGATTGGTTGGTGTGTTCCTTCTGAGGGCAGTGATGAAGAATCCCATTTCTCTCACCTAGCTTCCAGTGGTCTGCTGACAATTGTTGGTGTCCCTTGGCATGCAGAAGCATCCCATGATCTCTGCCTTAATCTAAACATGGTGTCCTCCTCATACAGGTGTCTGTGTTCCAATTTCCCCTGCATATAATAACATCAGTCCTATTGGATTAGGGGTCCACCCCATTCCAGTATGACCTTATCTTAACTAACTACATCTGCACAACCCTAATCCCAAAAGTCACATTACAAGGTACTAAGGGCTAGGACTTCAACATATGAGTTTTGGGGGAACACAATTCCACCCATAGTAGTTGCCATTAACTGAGAAGAGGATATCTGTGAAATGAACATGTTTGGAGGCAGGGAAAGAGCCGCAAAGTTTTGCCCATGTTAAAGTTGAGGTGCGTGTTAGACACCCAAGTGGATATACCAAGTGGGCAGTTGAATAAATGGGTCTGAAATTCCAGGGAGGGGTCTGGGCTAGAGATAAATATTTGGATGTCGCCAGCATATTGGTGATACTGAAAGCCAAGAGACTAGATGAGATCACCAAGAAACTAAGTTGGGATAGAAAAAGAGGAGAGTTCCAAAGACTGAAGCTGAGATCCCAATAAAATAGTACTGGGATCAAGGCCCACAGAAATGTTGAATAAAAATCCCATGTATGCTTGTAGTTGTGAAAAAGCAATTACGTTTTCATGATGATTTTAAGTTATGTTCTAAATATTTACAAAGCCGTGGCATTTTCTTGTGAAGTGTAAGACGAGTCAGACAGGGTATGGATTGAGTTTTACTAGCTAATATGTTGAAGAAGTTACTGGTGCTGAAATGGAATGTTTTGAATGCCATAAAGAAGTCAAAGGATACCAATAAAAATAATAAAGAGCACTTTTCTCAGAAGGAGAAACAACTTTGGGGAACATTATTTCAGTCCTTGATTTAAGAAGTCATTTTCTACAACGGCAGTCATGCTCTAAGCAGCTGTATAGCTTGTTCTTTCATCTGTTTTTGGTGAGAGTATACTTTGAAATACTTTAAACAAATATTAACGCAATATTATCACATTTTAGCAGACTTGAAAAATAGAGAAATCTTCACTGTAACATAACCATTTTAGTCTTTTCATTGTCATTTTTCCATGTTTCTGCTGTTTGGCATGGAGGCAAAAGCTTTGACAGCAAGGTGATAAAAAGTGACATACAGCAACTCTACTCAAAGTTTTCTGAGCCCATCCAGATCCCATTTCTCTGAGCCACTGCACACCCTTCCGCCTCTGCCCCCTTTCTTACTCTGGCTGTCATGTAGTCATGCTTCAAAACTCAGGTTAGCTGACACATTTGAGGAAGTGTTTTGTAATTCCTTTATTCACAGTGTGCTTCCACCGTTACCCTGCACCATAGCGCTTACCATAATGCACCATAGCACTTTCCCCAGTTCTACTTCATGAAGTGTTGCTACTGGATCTTCATAATGGTTTATGCCCCCACCAACTTGGAGGGCACAGACTGGATTTTTGTATTTTTTTTCCCTTGACATCTTGCACAGGACCTGCAGGTAAATATTCAAGAAATGTATGTGGACTGCAAATTGAAAAATCAACGTGTTTGCCTGCCTGGTACATATCTAAACTTTCACTGAATTGTGATGCCTTATCAGAAGTTAAAACATTTTGTTTAGGGAGTGTCATCAAGTAACACAGTACTATATAATATATCTTGAGAAGATTCCCCTTAAAAAGTATTCAAACAGATTGTTGCCTAAAGGGTTACATTTGTCCCTAAAATCTGTTTCCCAGAGAGCCCTTCAGTTTCTTACCATGAAACATACCTGAGATATTTACCCTGTTTGGCTTTTTGTTTTACTATTGACTGTGTCCCTTCAAATTAGTAAGCAAAATGAAGTAATTAGAACACATCTATATAAGATAACATGAAAAAATGCGGGAGCTTAGAGGGATAAAACTGCTGGCAGTTGAGACAAGATAAATTTTTTTTTTAATTAGTGGATTATTTTGGAAAGGGGAGGTTTAAAAAATTTTTGGCATAATTGAGATATATAATGTGATTCTGAAGAGTGTTGAGTAATATTATTATTGCTCTTTGATGCAGAAACAAAAGGACAGCAAATACGTCCCTGATGACTTGGTTCAAGATTCTTTGCACTGCCCACTTAAAGTGCAAATAATGTGATTTTCTGGTAAACCTTCTCCAAAAATAGGAAAAGAAGGAAAGAAGTTTACATTTGATTATTTCCTATTTCTCAGTACTGAAAAGAGGCTTTGCTATACAATAGGCTTGATAGCATTGCTCCATTCATATCAGGTTTTACCTTTATTTTGCTAAGTCATGTAGTATGTGACTATTACATACTGAATTCTTGTCTGGAACCATGAATATTGACAAATTTTGAGCTAAGCTGTGCAGCATGTTAAATGTGCCTTTACAGTGTAGTTATTTAAATCTCAATTTCTTTCCCCAGCTCTACTTTACGAAGTGTTTCTACTGGATCTTCAAGACCTTCAAAAATATGTTTGGTGTGTGGGGATGAGGCTTCAGGATGTCATTATGGGGTAGTCACCTGTGGCAGCTGCAAAGTTTTCTTCAAAAGAGCAGTGGAAGGTAAATGTTCATGTGGGTGTTCCTTTTACATATTTTTTCCTAGTATGTAGTTTACTTGTACAGCTAATGCTATAGCATTATTGGGAATTCTTCAAAAAGAATTTTGATTTCATCTGTCAGTGATAAACAGTAATAGTGCCTTATATAAAAACCACCTGGAGATTTTCCACAGAGCAATATTTAATGAGCAGAATTTGAAATTCTGAGCAAGGATCAACCAAAGAGGTTTTTTTGTTGTTGTTTGTCACAGTTTGTTTTTCAGTAAGCCTCAGAAAAATAATTCCGTGTCATCGTAAATTTAATTTGTGTGATCTGGAATAGCAGGTTTACTAGGCACACACAGAATACATGATTTCTGCCTTTTCTGGGTTTCTGTATGAATATGTGTTTGTGGCAAATTAAAACATTAATATCAGAATCAAGTCTGTGATTTGTGTTCCATACAGAATAATTTCATTTACCAGCTGGTTCAAGCCCCAGGTCCCTGTGTGAGTCCCGCCTTTATTCCTCCTGAAAGTTTCCAAATGAGCATGTTAAATGAAAAACCTGACTGAGATTCACTCTGCATAGTTAGGCTAGCTTTTGCTTCTGACCCAAGATTGTACTCCTTAAGGAGAAATTGTCTTTAATTTATTTTTACCTTTCCCCATCCTCACTTATAAGCAGTTAGTTACCATCAGACTTAGACCAGATGGTTTTATTGATATTGAAAACTGTGTCTGGTGAAAGTGTAGAATTTTTGCGATTAGTAAAAGATTCATTGTGTAATAGACAATTACATTCACTAAGGGGCTCCACATGAAGACTCCCTAAGGTTTATTTCTCAGGGAAGTTTTCTTAGAGATGATTTGGTGCTTCAGAGGCTTAAACATAAGTGACTTGAATGTTTTCCCTCTGTTTTGCCAGAGATCACAAGGTCGTATCTTTAGTTGTGGAATGAAAAAGTTAATCAAATAATTACTCTTTCTCTTGAGATTGATTTTTGCCTTAATTGATATTACATGATTTTTACATTATTTACACTATTAATTATTTGGTGGTCCTCAAACCTAGCATTGAATTGGTAGAAGGAGCTCAGTAATTATTTCTCAGGATTATGAGCTCTTGGTTACAGGTGAAAGAAAATTCAGCAAACTGACTGAAGCAGCATTGGAAATGCATTGGCCCACACACTGGAAAGTCCTAGTGTATGCTTGGCTTCAGGCAAGCCATGGTCTTAAGCCAGGTCGTTAGAACTCAGTCCCGCTCGCTCAGTCGCTTGGTTTTGTTCTGGCTCTGTTCTCATGCACGTTCTCTCGTGGTGCTGAGACAGCTAGCAGACCTCCATTAAGAAGAAGTTTTCTGTTCCTAGCAATTCCTATAAAAGCTCCCAGTGGAATCTCCTCAGATTGAACTTGGCTCACGTGCCCACCTCTGCCCCAGTGCCTGTGGCTGGAAAATGTAGTAATCAGATAGGCTGGTTCTGGCTGGAGTTGGACAACCTGAACCATCTAGACCGGGAATTTCCCTTAGGAAAATGTGGGTTCTGTTACCAGAAGGCCAATTTTTCAAAAAGTAGGAAAAATAAATTTGCACACTACTGAAGTCAGTTTGCTTTTGTAAGGCTTCTCCTGCCTTCTTCTCTCTTTCCTTAATTATACGATTGGTTCAGTAGAAGATAAATAGGTGAAATTTACATCGGGCACTTTTCTCAGGCCACTTTGTGCTTTCCAATATAAGAATCTGCCTTTCTGGCTCACTTAATTAGTAAACAAAGTAAGTGGTATGTCAAAATAAAGTGATGTGGAGAAGGGCATTTTGGAGCAGGCAGTTGACCAGCTGGCCCTACCTATAGATCCACCTTCATGTCAGAACTCACATTTTGGCTATTTGTAGAATCTGCCCCTTCTCTACGTCTGAAGCAAAAGGTTTTCTAGAAGTTCTTGCTTAGTTTTTCTTGTTTTAAGCAGTTTCTGTGAAATTACCTAGGGAATTGTTTTTATAACTCAGTTATAAACATGCAAAAACCTAAATGCAGGTGTAACTTTTTCCTTCATTGGAAAGCTGATGGTTCATGGATAATGAAACTTGGTAAATGCCATATATATATATATATATATATACTTTAAGTTCTAGGGTACATGTGCACAACGTGCAGGTTTGTTACATATGTATACATGCGCCATGTTGGTGTGCTGCACCCATTAACTTATCATTTACATTAGGTGTATCTCATAATGCTATCCCTCCCCCCGTCCCCTCCCCACAATAGGCCCTGGTGTGTGATGTTCCCCTTCCTGTGTCCAGGTGATCTCATTGTTCAGTTCCCACCTATGAGTGAGAACATGCGGTGTTTGGTTTTCTGTTCCTGTGATAGTTTGCTGAGAATGATGGTTTCCAGCTGCATCCATGTCCCTACAAAGGACACGAACTCATCCTTTTTTTATGACTGCATAGTATTCCATGGTGTATATGTGCCACATTTTCTTAATCCAGTCTGTCACTGATGGACATTTGGGTTGATTCCAAGTCTTTGCTATTGTGAATAGTGCCGCAATAAATATACATGTGCATGTGTCTTTATAGCAGCATGACTTATAATCCTTTGGGTATATTCCCAGTAATGGGATGGCTGGGTCAAATGGTATTTCTTGTTCTAGATCCTTGAGGAATCACCACACTGTTTTCCCCAATGGTTGAACTAGTTTACAGTCCCACCAACAGTGTAAAAGTGTTCCTATTTCTCCACATCCTTTCCAGCACCTGTTGTTTCCTGACTTTTTAATGATTGCCATTCTAACTGGTGTGAGATGGTATCTCATTGTGGTTTTGATTTGCATTTCTCTGATGGCGAGTGATGATGAGCATTTTTTTCATGTGTCTGTTGGCTATATGAATGTCTTCTTAAGACTTGTATTAATATAGTTTATTATGTATTGATTTGGGAGTTAGACTTTAATCATTCACCTGCTTGAAACAATTCTGTAAATTTAAAATCGAAATTTCGTGAGAGTAAAGACTTATTTGTTTTTGTGTTTTTGTATGTTTTGTTAGTTTACTCTTTTATCCTGTGTGTGTGAGAGAGATTAAATATGTGAAAAAGATGGCTATCTTTATATAAAATATTTTTGAATTAACAAGAGATTATTTTTGTAAAGCTTTATAATATTTGTAAAACTCATTTCACAAAATCATGGTATATAGGTGTCGTTTTATTTTCCTTTTGTAGATGAAAATATTTAGGATCGGACTTAGTCACCCAATCTGTTCCTAATCCCAAGGCCAAAGTTAGACCCTTACTCAAGTCATAGAACTCCAAACCTATACCTAAGCTAAAGTATGGATTCTCAGTCTCATAATATAGCCTTGCTATTTTGCCATATCAGTTCTTGAGTTCATGAAAATTATACCCTATGTTAGTCTATTCATGCATCCTTGACTCTAATAAAGGAAGTGATTAAGCACTAAGAAGGCACAGTTTAGTACTCTTAGTCTGTATGTATATATGTGACTTTGTATGTATATACATATACATATGTATGGATGTATATTTAAATACTTAACGAAGTTTGTTTTCCAATGTCCCTTGACATCCCTAATCCCCTCCTTAGATTACAGAAGCAGAGAATTCTGGGCAAGGTGCGTAGAGGGAGCTAATTTGAGGGAAGTCATTTAAAGCTAAAAGGAAATAATGGCACCGGGAACAGAACATGAAGATAATCCCTAGAGAGCAGACAAGAGGAAAAACACACCAGTCTGAGTTTTGAGTTGATGTCCTTAAGGCTTTATGCTCTAGAGTGCATCACCCTAAAACTTGCTATAATAGTGACTGTGTATGCAGACTGTAAATTATGTTTTTAAAGTATGACTTTGTGTGTGTGTGCTCTGTTTAATGTGCTCTCTTCCAAAATAACTTGTTAGCCAATAATGTCAGTTAATAGCCATATTATTGTACCTTATAAATGATTTATACATTTATTTTTAAATATAAATCACTATTTGCCTTGAAGATTTTCAGAACCTTTCTGTCTTAAAAATAATAATAATAACTTTTAAAAAGGGTTCTCCCTTGTGGTGGAAGCTAGATTGGCTTCAAGGGTCAGAAACTTAGTTTTAATTTTTTACGTCACTCACTAGGTGTGAGATTAAGGCAAGTTATTTAAAACTTCTCTGGGCCTCAGTTTCTTTGTCTATAAATGGAGAAGTAGTGTTGCCCTGCCTGAACATTGCTATGAAAAATTACCTGAAAACATGTTTGTACATATTTTATAAATTATAAAGTAGCACCAAAATATTAGATTATTACTATCCTCTACAAACAAATGCCAAAGTTCCTGGTAATGTTCACGTAGAGAGATGATGTAAATGATACAATCACGTTGCATTGTTAGGTCTTCATTTTTCAGCCCTTCATTTTCCTTTGTTAGATCTTCATTCTTCCTGTAATGTTATTTTGTCCTGAGAGCTGCCCTTTGAGGTGGCAAGATCCTTCTAAACCAGCAGGTCTCAAAGGCTGTGTGTGGGGAATGGGGATCTGTGGAAATTTCCTAGAGGGGCTTTTCCAATGCAGACTGAACTGTTGAGATTTACTCCTGTAACAAGCCTCTGTGGCAGTCCGACCATTGGGAGTCTCACAGTTGAGAAAATACTGAGAGCCATCAACCAGGCTTTACCTCTTCTGTTAGAAGTTTTTAGAGAAGGCAGAGTCTTATCTCCACAATCTAGCAAGGCTGTGGATATTTAGTAGCCACCAAATAAATGTTTGAATGTACCCATGTAGCATAAGAGCAATCAAGGTTGAATGACGTCCCTCTCCCAGATAAATTGCCATTAGTTCCATCTCATCTGTGTTTTTTACTTTGTGATTCCTCAATGAACAGAGTTGACTAGATTCAGCACACTATTTTATAACCTAATTTCCTTTTTGAATACTCAGTATGTATGCAGTGTCTGGAAGACACAGCTACCACAAATCACTAAATAGTTTTTTGGCTGTAAAAGAGGAAGCGAGTTGATTATTATGTAAAGTCAAC